CTGAGCCAGCCGATGCCCACGTCATGCCCACAACTGCCTGGTGAGGACAGGCCAGCGACAACCCAGAGAGGCTGACCTCCTTCCTCACGCTTTCCAGTGGGGGATGCCTTCTACCCCAAGCCCTAGGACTGCTAGAGGCTGCCTGTTTTCACTAGTGAGGGAGTCATTCTCAGGAACTGGGGAGAAAGTATCCCCCAGTTTCAGCCTAATCACGGCTCTGAGCACAATAGAAGTGGCTGCAACTATGGGGGAGAGTCATGCTCAGAGATGACCTTACCCAGTTCCCAGCACAGGCCCAGGGCCTCTAGACAGGTGACCTCACACCATGCCCACCTCCACATGGCAGGTGGTGGCCCTGAGCACACCCAATCCCAGGCCAGGTAGCAGCCCAGCTGTCCCTGAAGAGTGGACCAGACCTGGGTTTCCAGTTGCCCCCTCCTATGGCAGAGACCTCCAGCAGGACCCATGGGACTCAGAGTCTAAAAAGCCCTAGAGGCCAGGAACAGGACCTCCTTGTGTTTTCAGTCCCAGGGACGGGTCCTAAAGGGCAGCTCTGCCCACCAGAGGTCTGTGCAGGTGGACTAAGGGCACTTAGTAGGGTGCTCCTCAGGACACAGTGGCGGGGAAAAGCAGTACTGGGCTGGGGGCTGCGGGGAGCAGCAGCCAATCCTCAGGAAATTGTCTGCCCAGCCCCACGGGAGGGCCCCGAGGTGGCCAGAGCAGACCAGGTCTCCCTGTGCAGTGCCCCTTGGGCAGTGTGCGCCCTGCCACAGGCCCACAGCCCTTCTCCTCGGCTCTTCAGTCTTCAGTCCCTGCTCTGCCCTCTGCTTTCTCTTCTTCCTCACCCACTCCAAGTAGCCCCTTCCCAGGAAGCCTGGCCTCGGGCTGGGAAACAGGCTCCCTCAGGCCAGTAGACTGAAGGGGAGAGGAGTGTTGTCCCTCTGTGATAGATTTTGGAGAGCTTGCTGAGGGGCTTTTACTAGGATGGAGCTGTTCCTGTGTCTTCTGGCCTGTGGCTGAGCAGAACAGAACCCACGAGAGCAGAGGGCCTGCTGTATCCTGGCCACGCAAGGGTATTTGTACCTCTTCACTCTGAAACCCCAGGCAGCCCTCTGGGGGCTCCAGGCCGGCTCACCAGGATGTCCACACACTCACAGCCAGCAGGGTAACCCTCAGGGCCCCATCCTTAGCCCCCAGTGGACCAAGGCCTCCCTTGGCTCTGGTCTGCCTCTCCCCAGCCTCAGTGTAAGTAGGGGACAGTGGAGGGGAGACCCAACGGTACTCCACCTTCCAAGAGAAAGGGAAGATGACAAACCCTCCAATCCTTCCAAGGACCCACAGGAACCACACATTCCACACCAGAGAAGTGCATGATGCATACTTTATTGAGGAGGGGAGAGCCCGAGCAAAAAATCCCCTCCCACCCCTGCAAGCTGGCCACCTCTGTAGACCCCATCCATCCTTGAACTTAGGAGGCCACCAGGCTGCTTTTGACTTGGTCTCCTCTCCGGACCCTGTGACGTGTGACAGGCATGGAAGGTAGCCGGGGGAGCAGCAGAGTCCCTGACAGGGCAATGTGTAGACAGCCTTCCAGACACTAGCGGCCATTACCAGCCTGAAAGCCTGAAGTCCCACAGAGAAGAAGCAGTCCTAGGGAAGCGGGGCCATTAGCTGTTTTCAGGGCTGTTGTATATGGCATCCAGGGAATTACTTGTGCTAACAGGTAGAAGAGAGGGCTAAGACTGAACACGACCATCCCTCCAGCTGGGAAAGCTTGTCCTCCGGGGCCTGCAGTCTCAGAGTGAGCTTGGCAGACACTACAGGCAGGAGGCAGCCAGGATACCGAAAGGTCCCCTCCAAGGCGGCAATAAGCTGAGGTTCTGCCAGGCTGGGCTATGGTGAGGTGTGCCCTCACGGCCCAGTCTTCTTCTGGCAAGGTTAGGCTGCAAGAGTGGGAGACAGGGGTGGGCTGGCACCTCCTGCCCACACTACAGAGATGATGCCTTAGAGAGGAACAGTCACCAGGCCTGGAGGCCAAAGGGCATGGGCGGGAGGGCAGGCTGATTCCACAGAGGACCCAGTGATCCAGCCCCAGAAGGGCAGGGTGGGGGAGGGAGGAGAAGCCCACCTGCTGCTTAGCCCTCCCTAGGTTAGCTGCTAGGTGTAGGAAGGGTGACCATCAGAGGTCACCAAGCAGGACAGTCTCAAGGGAACATGGCTGACCATGAGGTCAGGTGAGATGCACCTGCTCCCACCCGGACAGCAGCAGCTGAGAAAGTGTGAGGTGGGCAGGGTGGGGGGTGCGATGCCTCGGTCCCTCTTGCCAGTGTTCAGGGGGCCTCGTTGGACCCCATCCCGTTGCCTTTGTTGACGTAGAAAGGCCTATAGTGAGACTGTGGAGGAGACAGAGTGGTTAGGGCGGTGGATGGCAGTGCACCCCCTGCCAGCCCTCCCTGCCCCAGCCTCTGTCCCCCAAAAGCAGCCATGGCCCAAATGCCAGCCACTCCAGGGCCTGTGGCCTGGCCTGCAAGATCTCCCTACCCTGCAATCCCGGTTTAGTCCTTCCTCTTAGCAGGTTTCTGGGCTCAAAACGCAGGTAAGGCTCAGGTCCACCAGCTGGTTGATGAACTTGAGCCTCAGCCCCCGCCTGCTCCAAAAGCACCCCAGCCCCACCTTGGCCGCCATTTTTATGGCCCTTTCTGCTCCACAGAACTATACAGCACTGTCTGTGCTTTATATGAATGGACTCATTTAATTTTTACAACCTACCAATTAAATAGGTTACTGTTATCATATCCATTTTATGGTTGAGCAAAGCAAGGCCCAGAGAGGCTAGGCAGCTTGCCCAGGGACACGCAGCTAGTGAGCAGAGAAGCCAGGACTTGAGCCCCAGCTCAGTATCATGTCTGGTGTCCCAGAAGTTCAAGGGTCTGTTTCTGCTCTTTTTTTGCTCTCTGCATCCCTTCTTTCGGACACAACTGCCCCAGCCTAACCCTAGCTGACCCCTGCTCTCCACCTCCTTAGCCTGCCTCCCCATCAGAATTTGGGAACAAATCTTAGGCCAGCCCAGTTGTCCTCTCCTGCCTTCTCTGTGGCGCGGTCTGCCGGTCACTGCACAGTATGTCAGCGTCCGCCCCCATCCTCCAGAATACTTCATCAGTGCCCTGGGCATGTGCCCTCCAGGCTGAAGAGGGAGAACAAGCCCTGCTGAGCTGCTACTTGCTGGTGAGGACACTGCGGCCCTGAGAGGGGAGCTGGAGGGGACTTGTCCCTGAGCTGGGTCTGAGGCCAAGCCCGCGCTGGGCCCGCTGATCTGTACAGAAGATGTGGCCTCCCCCACCCCGGGGAGGCCCCAACCCCCTGGCCTGCCTCCCAGGGCCCTTGCTGCTTCAAGCCAGGTCCTGCCTGCCTCTGTCCGCAGCAGCCTCGGCCTGTGCACTGCAGGGCCCAGGGTCATCGGTCTAGCCCTTGGCTAACCCTGAGTGAACAGGAAGAAACTGAGGCCTGGGGAGAAGAGGAGTAGAGGCAAAGTCATTTGGCTTCTCAGTGGCAGGGCAGGGCTCCAGCCAGGTCTCTGTTGTCCTAGTGCCTGTCTGGAGCCCAAAAATGTGCTTGAGGCAAAGAGCTGGGGGCGGCAGAGCTTTTCCTATGGAGGCTGGGTCGGTAATGCGGGTCTCAGTGCTGTCTTGCTAAGAGCCATGAATGGTGGTGGGTGAGCAGAGCACAGCCCTGGGCAGCCAGGCAGGCTCTCCCTCCCATCTCCTCTCAGGCTCAGGCTTGTAGCCCATGAGGGCCAAAAGGACTATGGAGGCAGTTGGACCATCTGAGCAATTGTTCATGTTCCGAGGGGAAACTGAGGCACAGAGGAAGAAAGACTCACATTGGGTCACAACACAAGCTAAAGAGAGGGCTGGACCCGTCCCTGAACAGCTGCCTGCCCATTCAGACTCGGCACACTCACACACCTCTGCTCTCCTGGTGCTGGGTGCTGGATGGATACCAGGACCCTGCCTCCAGGAGTCCTCAGGTGGTCCTCTGTGGGGACCCAGGCCCTGGGAAGGTGAAGAATGTGACAGCGAGGGGAGGACCGTGTCCCCAAACAGAAACCTCGCATGGTCCCCGTATCAACTGTCTGCAGTCCTCTGCTGCAATACCCCTGGGCCCAGCTCCAAATTACACACACAATCACTTAGCTCCCATCACTAGCAAATTAAAGATTCTCTTCAATTAAACAGCCCCGGCCGTTCTCTGTGGCCCAGAGCAAATCACCTCCCCATGCTCTGACCTCCAAATAAAAAGACAGCAGGTGCTCAGGGCTTGGACCCTGTCCCCAGAAAACCTTAACAGCACCGACACATCAGGGCCACTGGCTGACTCGTGGTGAAGCCTCAGGAGAGAAGCATTTGGGGAAACAGAGGCAGAGCAGTGAGCCCGTCTGACCGCTGAGGTGCCAGGCAGGGCTCAGGCACACCTTATCTCAGCCACCCGCATTATAAACACAAAGGAACAGAGACCCCGAGGGGCATCTGACTTGTCCTGGATGCCACAGTCAGCAGGTGGCCTGGAGCCCTTGGGCCACAATTCCCCATCGCATTGTTCTTATGCAGCCTTGGTGTGGGGTCATTAGGTACTAAACCCGGAAGTACACCTCCTCTTAAGGGTCCAGGCTCCCCAGTCTGTACTCTATCACACCAATGTCCTCTATATCATCAGAGCCAGAAAATTGCCCTAGGGAAGTAGGACATAGCTCTAAGATACCCAAGCTCTGGACTGAGCCTTTTATAATCCCACAGCTGGTGACAGCCAAGCCACCAAGCACAGGCACTAAATAATCACTTGCCAAATAGAAAAGCAAGTGTCCACTTCACAGATTTGAAAACTGAGGTCCAAATAGGCTGTGCTTACACAAGCCCCCGGCTTATAAGCCCTGAGCGTCCACTACCTTTGTCTACGTAGGTCCTGCTGCGGTTGCTGCCTGCCTCCTCCCCCATGCACGGCCAGAGGCGGAGGCGCTCTTCTCACAGACCCTAAGCTCTGAAATGGGCTGTCTGGGAGCCTCCTGCAGGCCCAGGTCTCTGGCCATCCTGTGCCCAGGAGGCTCTCTGGACATCCCTTTACTCACCAACAGAGTCTGCTTCCCAGATTTCCAGGTCTGGGGCTGGGTCTTGGGGGCCTGGCTCCGGATGAGCGAGGGATAGCCTGGGGACAAGAGGCTGTTGTCAGGGGAGCACAGCTGGTCCCCAGGGCCCCCTGGGGCTGGAAAGGCTGCTTTCCACAAGGTGCGTCCCAGCCCACTACCAAACACAGCCACCACCAGAACTGGGCGCAGCATCTGGGTGCTGAAAACCCCAGGGAGGCGGCCAAGGGCAGGCAGCACCCACGCAGAGAACAGGAGCTGGCCTGGTGGCAGAGCTGGGCAGCTGAAGAGTGTCACCCACATCCAGGTTAGGATCGCACTATGCCACAGAGATTTCTGCCACCCACCCAGGGTTTAAGCCCCAGTCCCTTCCCTTTCCTGGAGCTCAGAACAGCCTCAAGATACACATCCCCTGCCAGTGCTTCCCTGCAAGGAACTCTGGACTCCACCTTACCAAGGGGGTGAAGCCCCCCTCTTGCCAACTCCCACTTGTCCCAGGCACTGTGCCAAGGACTGGGCATAAAGGGGCACATAATGTCAGTATGGCTTCCACCCAGGGTCAGGACAGCAGACCCAACGGGGAGCAGGTGACTCTCACTGGGTCTGGGCTGGAGGTGCCATCCTAGGGCCATGTGACCCTGCTACCTCCCCAGCCTTATCCCAGGGGGTGTTGTAAGTCATTCTGGCCCATAGAACAGAGAAAAGCAGTTCACTGTCCACCATCGGCCTGCAGGGACAGGCAGCAGTGGCTGAGAAGAAATAGGCCGTGACCTGGATGCTGAGAAGCTCAAGAAACTGGGTCTGTCCTTGACAGTCCCCTGACTGGGTGAGGCTGCTGGCTGCAGGCTGATAGTTCTCCACAGAGATGAGGAGGTCAGGCCCACACACTGAACAAGGAGGCAGGGAGTGGGGCCCAAGCCAGGACCCAAGGTGGTCCCTGTATCTGAGGTGACAGCATGCTGGGAAACAGAGCTGCCACCGGGCCTGAGTGGAAATGGAGAGAAGGGGAACTCAGACTTGGTTTCCAGAAAGAAAATCCCATGCCAGCCACGAGAGAGGTGAGGAGGGGCCTGGGTGGGGATGGAGTGGCCCGGGAGACCAGCCCTGTGCAACAGGCAGAAGTCCAGATGGAGTGAGCTAGGACCTAGGTGGGGACAGACAGACAGAGCCTCCTTCCTCCAGAGAGCCCCCAGAGGTGGGACCAGGACACCCTCAAAGTGGCCGAGAGCCCCGCGAGATGTGCACCTGTGCTCTGTGGGAGAGGAAGGGGAGAGATAGGGAAAGGGCAGGTACCAGGGTTATTGCTAAACAGCCCACTGTGGTCCAGTGGCTTGGAAAACTCAGCAGTGGCCTGTCCCAGGGTGGTGAACTGATAGGGGGCTTTCCCAGGGCCTGCCAGGAGAGAGAGAGGCATTAGCAGCTCATGTGCACACAGGAGGCGGAGGTGTGCACTCCAAGTGGGGCTCTGTGCTCGCCCTGCAGCCCTTGTTCAGTTGGGCAGCTTCCAGGCAGCCCAGGCCACTCCTCACCTGCAGGGCTGCTGGGGGTGGGGTGCTCAGTCCTCACACACAGTGTGTCCTCTTCCCAGAACCCTGTCCAGGGCCATGCCAGCCAACCCCAGGAGGTGGTCTGCAGGGTGGTGTGAAGGGCCTCACCAGCCTAGGCTCCCTCCTAGAGCCAGGCTTAGACTGGGTCTGAGTAGGCCAAGGAAGGCAGGTGTCTTCTTGCCTGGGGTCCAAGTGGCATCTACCCAAGCTCAGCCTAGCGAGGCACATCCTGGAGCTTCCAGACCGTGCTCAGGGTCAGACCCCCTGGGCCTGTGTTCTCTTATTCACCTTGCTGGTTGCTCCAAAAACCCTGTTCTGGATGTAGCCTGGAAGCCACTGGGTGACAAAGCCACCTCAGAAGCCACAGCTCAGACACTGCACCAGCACAGCCCCTTTCCTCTCCCTGATTTGGCCTTCCTCTGCCTTCTGGTCTTTCCCCCAGGACCTGGCATTTTACACACCAAATGGACAAGGAGTTACTCAGGCCAGAGCCCACCAGAGCTATCCCTACAACCAATCTGGAAGGCCTCAGGATCCACTTAGAAACCAAAATCTGGTTCAAGCTTCCCTCAGGATGGCCCCAACCCCTGGGCACAGGAGACATTAACACTAGCCACTGAGCCTTACTAAAGAGTTCTAGGGAGCACAGGAGTGACATGAGTGTGCAGGAAATGGAAGGACAGATTTAGGAGCTCTTCAGGGTCACCTGACCCCATCTTCCCCAAAGGGACTTGGCAGGATTGGTCCTATGGGTGGTGAGGGTGCTACAGGAGCCCAGGCATGGTCAGCCAATATGGAAAGTCACCAGCTGAACAAAGTGAACTGCAGTGGAAAGGCCGAATGTAAACCTATGGAAGCCCCTTGGGCCTGCAGAGGTGGGGATGCAGGGGTGCGAGGGGCCCCCGCACCAATCTCTAAGGCCAGAAGCCACAGCACTGAGAGAACCAGTATGGCCCAGCTCCTGCCCCTGCCTCCTTTATAGCAAAGACTTTGCCATGACCTCTGGCCCTTGGACCAGGTTCTCTTCTCTAGGAACTGAGTGGGACCAGGGAGGGAGGAGCAGAGGGCAAAGGGAACAACTGCAGAGGACAAGCAGGAGTATGGGAGGGTAGGCTCACCTTTCAGCGAGAAGGAGGAGCTGCCCTGGACCTGGGGCAGGTCTTCTGAGCTCTGGATGGAGGAGGAATATTCCCAGACTCGGGAGGTGTAGTTTCCTGCAGGACAAGAAGGGTGTCAGACCTCAGCTGTGGAGAGTAGAGGAGGGAGGGCAGGATGGAGACACGGCCAATCCTGTGAGTCTCATTCTCCAGTCCCACCACCTTGTAAGCGAGACTGCTGCTGGGTCCCCAGTCCTGCCTCCACCGAGTCCTTCCTACCATCAGTTATCTTTCTAAGATGAAGTGTAAGCCCTGCCCTACCCAAAGGCCACCAATCCTCAGAATAAGAAGGCAGGTCCCTGACATGGACCGCAGGCCCTGCACGAGGGGTCCTCAAGCCCCATCATCTCCGTCTACTTCCTGGCTTCACCTTTCCCCACTCTGACAGTCAGAATCACAATCAGGTTGAGCTCCCAGCTTCTCTCTTGCCCCAAGCCTTGGGCCCAGAGCAAGTAGATCTTGGGCCTGGGGCCTATTATATAGTGGATCTTTATGTGTCATATTACATGTGACATTCCCCATGTCTGCGTGTGCCCACACCACCCTGCAACCCCAGTGCCCTGGGCTGCAACTGCACATTTCGTTGTCTATCTCCCTAGCTGGAGGAGCTGGAAAAAAGCCCCATCTGGCCAGAAGCACCATGCCTGGTGCCTGGCGCAGAGCCTGCTTCTCAGAAGGTGCTCATTGTATGGCGGATGGATGAACGCACGAGAAGAACAAATAAGCGCAAACACGTCCTGTAACTTGGGGACAGAGGCAGCTGAGAGAAAGCCTGAAATCTTGTTTGGCAGGTTGGATAGTCTAACAGATGTCGTATACAAATATGTCCCTGCCACCTAGAGGAGGAGGTAGGAGTGGGGAGTGGGTGGAGGAGACAGTAGAGGACACTTTGAGTTGGGGGCTCGGTGCCCCAGGGCTCCAACCCTTTACAGCAGCCCCGAAGCCTCCAGCACCTCCTCAGTCCAGCAGCCTAAGCAGAAATGCCCATCAAGCCCCGCGGCCTTCTCCACAGTGGCCTAGGGAAGGTCTGGGGAATGTTTGGGCTCCCGGTCAGAGCTGACTGGGGTGGTCACACTTCTACCAACAAGTTCTCCAGTGGGGATCTCAGGAAGCTTTGCACAAGGCCCTCATAGAGACATCTGCCACAGCTCCAAGAGGCTAGGAGCCTCGCCTTTCCTCCCGAGCCTGCTGCCTTTCAGTAACAGTTCCTCCAGGCCCTCCCAGTTCTGGGACCAGCCCATGCACCCCTGAGCAGGACAGACCCCCCCCATCCCCATGGCTACCCTCTGTAGCTAGGGGGTTATTGTTTATGTGGATAAGAAGGGCCTGGTGGGGCCAGCCGTGAATCTGATACTGACAGAGAGGCCTAAGCACTGTGCGTATCCTCGGATGACACTTGTGGGCTGGCCCAATTGCCTCTCTCCCTGAGCATGGAGGGCCACACTAGGAGCTCCAGGACAGAGTGGAACCTCAAAAGGACCTTGCTGAGCTTTGGAGTCACAATCTGCCTGGAGTACTGTGGTCCCTTGGTGTCCTGGCAGAGAGGCCTGGCCCTGGGGTCTTCTCCCACACTTCTGATCTGATGGTGCCTCCCAGGGAGGCAACAATACTTGGCAATGATACTTCCTAGATGTCCAGGAACAGCCCCTGTCCTGCTTCTTCCTGCCCTGGCTCCACATATTCATCTCACACTGGGGACCCAGCTCCGGATCCCACCTCCACCTGCTGCCAGACAGTTTCCCTGCCGACCCTGGAGCTCAACCTCCTCCTACCTTTGGTGCCGTAGAGATTGTTGAAGTTCTTCTGGTTGGTCTCCTTAGACAGACGGCCTGAGGACGATGGCTGATAGGATGTGCGGGCTCCACCTGGGAGGTAGAAAGGGGAGATGGCTCAAATTCACAGCCTCTGACCAGGGGAGCCTTAGGCAGAAACCCAGAGCTCTCCACATGCCTGCCACAGGCCCCAGATCCAGGAAGAGCAGTGTGGGCCTAGCCTCAGGTGACCACTTAGTATTCAATGGGGACCCTCTTGGGGAGTGGAAGCTGTTCTACAAATCATCATTCCCAGAGTGCTGCTCTCGCCAGGACAACCCCAGGCACCCACGATGTGCAATCCTCCTTCTCTGGGGCGACCAGAGGCCAGCAGGGCGACACTGCCCTCCTGGAGCAGTTCCTACATGAATGAGACTCCAGGGCCCAAGAAATGCAGTGCTTGGGATGAGGGAGAGGCCAGGGCCAGGTTGGGGGGCAGGTGTTGGGCCCATGGCCAACTGAGGACTGAACCCCCTGTAGGTATGGGGAGTGAGCTGGCTACAGCACAGCACTGTGGCTTCCCAGTGCCATCAGTCTTGTTCCCCACAAGGGCCTCCCTTTGTCCCCTGCTGGGTGTTCACAATGGCTTAGTAGAATAAAGAGTAGATTTGGGGGGC